TTATTTCCCTTCAGGCTAACCCGTATCTCTGCAGCATCCAAAGGCTATGACAACGCCTTAGCAGAGTTTTCTCAAGAGGTCCAGTTAACTCTGAAATGAGAAGTTTGGTCTCTATCTTGTACCAATTAATAGTCAGATTTTATTTTTCAATATAGAAAAGGAATTTTAAGTCCTTTACATTTTATTGGTCCGGCATTCGGTTATCATGATAAGGGATTTTCCGGCAATGGAGAAATGATATGGTTAAACTTTTTTTTTTGCCTTTTTTTTTTGTTTGTTTACATGCAAAGATAAGTACATCTGGACAACAGGATGGGGTAGTGAAAGTTATTTAAACCACAACTCTTTGACTATGAAGAACTCAACTTACTACTTTGTGCTTGGATGAAAGGCTCTGCACAGGCACACAGTGGACTGTTCCAACTTTTCCCTAGTCTGACTTGAATTCAATCCCAGATGGACTTACTCAGGCTTTGCCCCAAACCTTTCATGCCATATGACTTACTCATCTTTCTTTTACTTATTCTTATCTATGAGGGTATCACCAACTTCAAATATGCATCTGAAACAGCAAATAACCTTGGTCTGAATCTTGTACCTATTTCTATAAATTTAAGGATTACTGCTTAACTATCAAAATAATTTCCTAGGACAAGGGGAACTAAACCTTAGGTTCGCCCTCTTCTCTGGCAGCAGAATGTGCCACTCACTATGTCAGGCCACAATTTATAGCTAGGCATTTGTGGTGATTCTTTAAAATTGGATAATTCTTGAAATAGGCTCAGAATGTAGAGTTGTTTGTTTTTGCTTTAATCTTCAAAAATATCATCTGATAAAACAGCTTGGATTCAACTGACAGCGAGTGAAATGTTAACTTCTCTGTTAGCATAGTTTAGAAAATGACGGTAATGTTTTCTAAAAACTAGATTCAAAAGTTTTATTACTGATAACATGATCACTGGCGTTTCTGCAGTACTGTAAGTCAACTTTAAAATATGATCATTACATCAAGTAAAACCAGACCACTAGGCCAAAGGCACAGAGGAGACTATAAGTATTTTAGCAGAAATAAGAGTCAGGTTATTAGAAGTCATTGCTGCACTACAGCCTGGAGAGTTAAAAAAAAAAAAAAGAAAGAAAGAAAGAAAAGAAAAAAAATCATATCCCTTGAAATGCTCATACTTGGGGTTGCAGAATAACCTAGTACGTAGGGTAAGAATGGTAGAGCTGTTTTTTTTTTTTTTAAAGAAGAAAATATTTAGCCATAGAATCAATTATTCTATTTCATTTTGCTCAAAAGGGTAAAAATAATTCAACTGAACATGGCAGAACACTATTTTTAAAGTTTCAGTTAAATAAGAGAATAAATTCAAATAAAAAACTTTTAAGATCATTCTTACAGAAAATGTCTTGTGGAAAAAAATGGCTCTTTTTCTCTTCTACACTTTTATTTCCCCCTACTCCTTTTCAGCCCTCTTCCTCTCCAAAGCTGATGTTAATTTAAAAGATGAAAAATAAAGTCATTAGGTAAGGTCAGAAGATTTTGTTGTACCTCTCACAAGTGAGGAAACATGCTTACAACACGTTCTCAATTGTGTTTTTCTAAATAATACTTAGCACACAAGATTCCTCTCCCATTACAAATCCATTTCGGCTTCTAAATTAAAACTCATCTGGAAAAGGGCCGTTTACACTGTTTATATAACATTGTCACATAAAATGTGTAAAAAAACATATTTCTCTAAAAATAGCTTGCGTAAGTAAGGGATTAGAGTAGTTTCTGCTGCTATAATTGTTCCTTTGTAGTTTTTTCCATGATGTTTTTGCACAGTGTTTTTGACTGTGTTTATTAAAGTCAGCACATCAAAAAGGATCAAAGAGAAAGCGAGAGAGAACCAAAGAAACCCCAAGTGTGTTGTCTCACTGGGGAGTTATGCAGATTCACGTAAACAAGTGCAAATTGTTGAGGTTTTAATGAAAATTTTCTACAATTATTTTATCTTAAGTCATTCTATACAATAACATCTGTACAACAGATGGCCATACTGTACCAAAGCAATACTCCTTTTTCTTTTTCTGTTTTAACAGTACATCTGAGATGACTACTTTTGTCACTGTGCTCAATTTGGTTCAGCAAATAATTCGGAAAACACAGCTGCTGCAGATGGTCACAATAGTTATATGACTGTAAAATCAAAGACACAGCCAAGTATTTGTGTATTAGATTGAAACTATAAAAATCTGACATTAACTCAGTTGAGCTCAGAGGTATAGCTATAAAAGTTTTGGGGAACAAATATCGAGAACCACATTTAAAAAATATTTCAAGAGCTTAAAATTCTCTTTGTAATAAAGCTACTGTATTTTTTCTTTTAAACATTTTGCTAAATTTACCTTTTTGGTATATCTAATAATTTTTCATTTAAATCAGTTTTATTGGGAATACAAAACATTAATTTATAAAACACTCCATAGTATAAAGGAATCTACACTCAATCTTATTTTTAATTTTTTAAAATCCAGTTTAATTTTTTAAAAACAATGTTATTAGCTAGTGAATACTCTGTTAATTATTATTTTCCAGAATTCAGTTTTAAGTAGTAATTAGTTTTTAACTCTGCTGGTGAATTACAGTTAATAATTTTTTCCTGGGTGTTTCTTTTTCCCTTCTTTTCAAAAAGTCCAAGTATTCCATAACATAAAGAATAAATGTAGAAAACAATCTGGCATTCTTTAGTGCCTCACAGGAATGTTCTTCATAACAAATGACTAATTCCCATTGGGATGAGTTTTGGCATTATAATCACTTTATTTTAAAATGTCTGTTGGGCATTCACATTAGAGAGCTGTGTATAAAGTTTGTTCAGGAAGACTCATTTTCCATACTTGCAGTTACCTGGATTAAGAAATATAACTGGAACAGCAAAAGGTTTTGAGGATCCTTACAGCAAATTATGTCTTTTTTCAAGTATAAGAAGAAAATATGAAGGTAAAAGACAGAATGAATCTCCTGACTTGTCTTACACAGCACCAGGAAGGAATGAACTTAGCTTTGTTTTCAACTTCTCTGCTGACACATACCACTGACAATATGTAAGCTTAACAAAGGGGATGGGAGTGAAGGGAAGAAGGAAAAAGAAAAGGCACCTAGGTCTCTGAACATAATCCTTAAACTCCCCTTTAACAATGTTTGATTTCTGGACTGTGCTGACTATGATTAAGATACAACTAGAAAAGCGTGGGAATGGGCCCAGTGTTCCTGTCTGTATTCCAATTTATTTATGGATAAATCAGGAATTTCAGCCTCCAGCATTTCACAGTCTTTCATGTTCCATGAACCTTACATTTTTCATTTCTAACTTTTAAAACAATAAAAAAGTGCACTATGTTTAGCTGGCTTGGTCACAAATATTTCTGATGAGAGGGAAATAAATCACCTTTCTTGGCCTATACTTCACCTTTTTCAACTACAGGTCATTTTTGTTATCTTCCAGTATGCTGTGCCAACTGGTTAGATGTGGCTTACTTCCAGTTAGTGTTAATATGCCACTTAATTAATTTGGTAAGCAACTGATCTAAAGTTACAAAAAATATAAAGTTTTGCTTCCAAATTCTTCCATGCAAATAAAACTGAAAAAATGTTTCCCATTTACTGCTTTTGATTTCAGAGTGAATTTCTTGGCATTCTGCCCTAAACGTTTACGGTAGCAAAGTTTCTGTGATTGAAAACTGTATTTCCCACCTGTGCCTTGCCTCTCACCCTTCCCTCCCCTTGTACCCTTTGCCTTCCCTTCATTCAATGAAAAAAATGCATAAAAGTTCAGTCCTGGCAGGAGGGGAAGAAGACTAAACTCTTTAATGAGAGATAATTTCTCACCTCCCTATATTCCAATTTTATAGCATTTCAAATCCTCCTGCTGTTAGATTATGGCATGTGATCATGTGATCACATCCTTTCTAATAGGCCTCTCTGCCAAATGCAATGCAACGACTACTTTAAGGGGAGCAAGGAGACATGAACCTGAGAAAATGATGGCTGAATTTTTTGTGGAAGTAAAAAATTGGAAAGAAAGTGCATGGCCATTAATGGAGAGTAGTAGAATTAATTGAGAAAGATGAATTTAGTGGAATATCATTATACTGTAAAGATGATGGATGTAAGGAATTCAGAGACACAGGGAGATGTGCATGTATGAAGTGAGAGTAAGCAGAACAATACATACAATGATAGAATATGTAAATGGAAAAAAAAACACTAAAATTAAGCCAAAATATGTTTAACTGTAACAACCAATCTTCTTCCTGGCTAAGAGTTCAGGAAGTGCAATTTCTTCCTCTCCTTGGAGAGATGGGGGATAACGGCTGCTACATAAGATATCAGACTTGATGTCTGTGTCGACTTGTTTTGCTAAATTGCTTTTTTTGTCACAAGTGAAGGATCACTGAATGGGGATAGGTAGCATTTTTGGAAAGGACTGTGAAGTAAAAAAACAAAACAAAACAAACCACCAAAAACATTAATAAACTTTAAAAGAAGAAATGTTTGCTAAACTCTGAGTGTCCGATTCATCATCTAGTACACCTGACATCACCACAATTCTTATCTAAAACCACTATTCCAATGGAATGAAATGAGTATTATCACACACCTAAAAAGGCAGCTAGCTAGCTGGCAGAGAAAATCCAAAATTAAGTAACTCAAAATAAAGTTTTCAAAAATACTTCTATGATTTGCTTTCAAGACATGGATCTTGAAAGGTCCAGTGTGCAGTGTTAAGACCCAAGGGCCCAAGTAATTTATTCCCAACTTATCTTGCAGATACTTCAGACCCAAAGCACAAATTGGCCACAGTGCTAATAGTCTTAAATTTTAAAAAAAGATTATCTTCAAAATTATGTAACTTTAGTGGTTGAAAGACCACACAGACACACACACACACACACACACACACACACACACGCACATCTGACTCTGATATGAATACATATAATTGACTCACCAGGTGTCCTCTGCCCTGTCTTGACATTCAGGCTTCCACTGAGGCTTGATAAAGATGCTAAGAGGCATGGCTTCTTAGGATGGGGTACAGTTTCCATGGAAACCACTATCTGAGCAGTGTGAACAGAAATTTTCTGAAAGCAGGAAACAGCTCTCCACATGTTTTCTTGAACTGGAACCTTTTGTACTCCATCAGCTTGTCCTACAGGAACAGGCAGCTTTCCATGGGAACATTTGGCTAATAGCTCATCCTTGTTCAGTACAGTGTCTGACACAGCTGAAGGCTCTGTGCTGCCCTCAGAGCCATTAGCATTTGTGATCTTCTTCAGAAAATGGTTTATTTGATCTAGTTTGACAAAACTCAGGTTTGCCTTCAAAGGCTTTGATATATCCAAATTGATGTCCGCTGTAAAATATAAAGAGATGAGAAAATCACTAAAGTTATTCTACTGAATGGAAACTTTTTCTTGCATGTCACAACTCTATTGATGCATCCTAAGATCATGTTAGATTTTGTCATAATGGTACTACACCACTCAATTCAATAAATACTTATTAAGGAAAACTGTCATTCAAAGGTCCAAAAAGATTCCCATGTTCCTTATCTTATTCTTATTAAGTCTTTCCCCATATTTTATATGAGTAATTCCTTTATGAAACATTACCCTAAGGATCTATAGTCTGCCCTCTTTTCTTCTCTCTCTATACTCTTGCTTGGAAGTCTCATTCACTTTTCATTCCAACTATCATTTCTATGCAGATGACTCTCAAATCTGTATCTTCAACCCTGACCTCTCTCTTTGAGTTCCAGATCTTTATCTTCAATTATGCATAAAGGGATTTGTTAGTAATAGAATCTTTTGTGTCATTAAATCATTTTTCAGTCATGTCTGACTCTCCATGACCGCATTTGGGGTTTTCTTGGAGTGGTCTGCCATTTCCTTCTCCGTTCATTTTACAGATGAGGAAACTGAAGCAACAGGGTTAGGTGACTTGCCCAGGACCACACAGCTAGTAAGTGTCTGAGGCCAGATTTGAGCACATGAAGATTAATTAGTCTTCCTGACTCCAGGCCTAGCATTCTATCCACTAGGCCACCCAGCTGCCCCAGAGTCTGAAGGGACTTCAGAGGCCATCTAATACAACACATATACCCAAAAGAATGGACACTACAACACACCCTGTGCTAAGTGATCATCCAGTATCTGCTTGAAGCCCTTCAGGGAGCGGGGACCCCACTTCCTCCTGGGGCAGCCCAATCCACTGGTGGATAGTTTAACTGTTAGGAAGTTAACATACAGGTCATTTCTACTTGGATGTTACACTAATACCTCAAACTGACTGTGCCCCAAACTGAACTAGTTATCCTTCTCCATAAATCTCCTGTGACTCTGGACTTTAGTTATTACTTTCATCTGCAGCAACACCATTTATCTTGTTTCCTGTAATTGTAATATTGAGATTATCTCTGGCTCTTCCTTCTCCCTGACCTCTCATATTCAATAGTTACTGAGTTCTGTTGATTCCTCTTCCACAAAAGATTGCAAGGTAGCATGTTCCACTATTTCTACTGCCCCTACCCTAGGTCAAGCATTCATTGCCACCTGCATAGATTCTCTCATTTTTCATATCAGTGCCAGAAAAAATATTTCTTAGAGACAGATCCAGAGCACTAAAGCTGTCTCACTTAACAGAACTACTCTTTCTTACATGTTATACACCTATTAATGTAACCAAAGATCTTGTAAGAATCTGCACCAGCAGCATATCACTCATTTCAACAAACATATATCAACGGCCAGAGCTGGCCAAGATTCCAGTATGACTCCCAAGTTCCTTATCTTTCATACTTAGACTTTACTAATTAAATGCTTTACCAAATTTTATACATATAGCTTCTTTATGAAACATTTTTTTCTAGAGATCACTCTTATGCTCATCAGTCTTTATGAGTTCTTCATTGCATACTGAAAAAAATTTGAACTCTTCTGCCTGGCACCGAAGGGCTCCTACAGCTTGATGCTGTTTTCTCTCCTATTACTGTCACAATCTTTGAGCTGGAAGGGCCCTTAGAGGTCATCTAGTCCAGGGGTGGGGAACCTGTGGTCTGGAGGCCATATGTGGCCTTCTAGATCCTTACATGTGGCCTTTTAATTGAATCCCAATTTTACAGAACAAATAGGAAATTTGTGGGATCAAAGCCTTTAGAACTAGAAGGGTTTATAGGGATTATCTAGATCAACTCAGTTTTTTTTTTTATAGGCAAGGAAACTAAGTCTCAAAAAAGTTATGTTACTTGCCCAAGGTCACATAGTAAATAGTAGAACCAGGATTCAAACTTTAGCCCACTAAGTCAAATTCAAGGCTCTTGATGTAGATCTCAAATCAATCTGCTCCCATCCACCACTAATGAAAGAAGCAGTAGAAAGAGTACACCATGTCTTTCTCTGTCTCTCTGTCTCTCTCATAACTATTGTCACTTGCTGAGGAAATCATAGCACTTTCCGCTGAGCTCAGCTCCTTATAAGGAAGGCAAACAACTGGCTTCCTTGGCAAGGCACAATCTGGCCTCTTGTCCTCTCAACTTCTCTGTGGAAAAACAACTTTGTGCATATTTCTTATTGGACCCATTTGATTCCTACCTCTCTTCTCACTTCCTCTCCCTTGGTGCAGTACCTTGAGATGATTCTTCTTTAATTTGGTTTTGTTTCTGGCTATTTTTCCAAGAAATGAATACTATTCTAATGTGTAAGCAACCCTGTTCACGTTAAATCTAGTGGTTGTGTATAGTGTTAAACAACTGTTATCTAAAAACTCAACAAGAATATCTAAAAACATGATTCTGTTCACCAATCAATTATCAAATATAGGAACTATTAGCCCACTAAGGGTCACCCTAGGTTAGAATAGGTTTTTCCAGTTGATCAAGTGTTCATGTAATAGTTCACGAAACACTTGGCTGTGTTTCAATGCTTGTTAGAGAAATGAAACCTTAGGGGTAAAAAAAAAAAACTGGTCCTCAGAAAATTACTGAGAGTCACTTGTATCATATGGAAACATTTCCAGGCTACAAGTTATTCTGGGAGGTGAAGCAGTTGTTGTTGGCGGTGGGGTGGTGTGGAGAATGGAAAGAAGGAGAAAAACCAACCATGTGATCTTCGCATACTATCAAATAAAATGAATTTTCAAATGCTGCTAGGGATAGCCAAGCACATTTTTTGTAAGTAAGAACTACCTTGCACATGTTTAAAAACAATTCTTCCTGGGTGACAGGATGACCACAACAAAGAAAGTATAAGGAACTTCTTCTAGCATTAGCCAACCAGGACTTTTTTTTCTTCCCCACTCCCTCTGCTGTCTACCCTGCACCAGTTGCTCATGGGGTATCAGCACTAGGGTCCACCAATAAAATACCCTTCTTCAGTTGTCTGTTCTATTCTTCTGTCTTCCAATACTCAAATTAAGGTAAATATTATTATTTGCATGTCATAATGCTAATTATTAGCTAATTATTACATGCTAATAGCGATTAGTCTTTTAATGCTAATAATAATAATAATAACTCAGGCCCCTAAAAAAAGAGTCCACAGCCCTCAGTGCCTGAATTCATAGAAAAGATGAATTGTAAAGACCTGAGAAAACTGGCCAAAGTCTTACTAGAGCTCTCTGTGCCACTGTCATAGTCATCATCATCATCACCATTACAGTTAACATAATAGTTCTTTGAAGTTCACAAAGTGCTTTCCCCACAACAACCCTGAGAAATAAGTAATGCAAGCATCGTAAGCTTCAGTTTACAGCTAACAATAACAATTAACAGTTACAAAGTTTGTGAAAGTCTGCAGAATGCTTTACTGATCTTCACAATAGTCATCTGAGGTATCTGTTAAGTGTTAGTACCATCCCTGTTTTACAGGGTAGGCAACCGAGGCTCAAAGAGAAGAAATGATTTGTCAATCATTTCACAGTAAGTAACTGAGATGAGATGTAAACTCAAGTATTTTTGACTTCAGGTACAGTTCTCTATCCACCAAGCCAGGATGTCTCTCAGAAATTTGAGACTCCCAGAAGCTAAGTAGTTTTCTGGGAGTCATGAAGCCCAGAAGAGTAAGAGTGGGGTCTGAAGAACAGCTCTTCACATCCCAGGCTTCTCAGTACAGACTGTGATGGAAATGACCATTACATGATGTATTTGTGCTCTTTTATTTTGTACTTTAATAGGGAACAATACCTTAGGCCACCCAAACCAAAGTTCTGGCATTATGACAAGCTATCAAGGAAAATATTTTTGGAAAGAGACAAGGACTGCTGGAAAGATTCTCAAATTACATCGAATGGCCACTTCCTCTGCTTAGAAGACATAAAGCTGTATCTCAAGTCCTTGTGCTTTCTACTCTAAGGCTGGTGTCAGCAAATGGCTCAGGAGCCACAGGCAGTTCTACCACTATGTATTTATGAATACAATAATCATGTGCTGACTCATCTCATTAATTTGCAAATGGGCTATATACTGTGCTGTAAGCAACAAATACATAGCCTTGGAAACAAGTAGAGCTAACACCTAGAACTCTCAGTTTCCCCTCTTTGCTAACTGCTCAAACTGCAGAACCCCCAAGAAGGCATTCCAGTTGATTATCGTCCTAGCTGATGACCCAATCCCACATGTTCCACTCCTCTTAAGGCTTGCCACACCTATGCTTTTCTCCATCCCCTCACTCTTTCTGCCTTTGTTCCTTCCTGTCCTAGACCTATAACTTCTCCCCTGAGAGTCAATTCCCTCCCTCACTCCAGCTCCCAAGATAATGATTCTGTAATCTAAGGAACTCATTGGATCAATGTGCTAATAGGAGAAGGCTAAAAGGGGTTCCTTGGGGCTTCTCCTTCCACTTTCTAGACTACATCTATACATATAATAAGGACCAATATAACAGGATATAGTATAATATATGATGATAAAGAATATGATATTGCAATGATTGGCAGCATGGTACAGTGGGTAGAGAGTAGGCTTATGTTCCAGAACCATCTTATGATCCTGGCACTCATAGGCAAATGGCCTACCTCTCAATGGTACAAGCAGCTCTCTAAGACTACAAATTACAAAGCAGACCTGCATCGGTGAGAGGGAGTTTCTTTATACCAATGATATCACAGGTCCAATCTAAAGGGGTCTGTGTATGTCTTCAAAAGTTACATTTTAAAGGTATCACTAAAAACAACTCTTTTCCCTTCAGGATAGCTGACCACGTAATATTTTAAAAATAATTTTTATAAAAGTGAACTCAGTGGAAGGAACCAATACTACAACTTTCTGGAAATAAATGGAAACGCCAAGGAAAGAATTATCCATCTTAGTATTTAATGTATCTGTGCTTTTTCTGTGTAGTGAAGATAGATAGTCCTGAA